TTGTTTAGTCCTCGAGTGTATAATTTACGTCAAGGATTGACATTGCATTTTATATGTTTTACGTGTACTCCAACGTAGTTGAAGATTAACATCGGCATAGACCGGATGTAATGCCATTTACTTCGATAACAGCTACTGTATGTTGAAGATAAGCAAAGCTGCGGGCAGTGGTGAAGTTGGTTGAACAAAAGACCCAAAGCGTGTACTTTTCTACACGATTGTAATTCCCACACTACAGCAATTGAATTATTTAATAGATATAAATGCGTGGTGTTTTACACTGAGAAACGAACCAAGCCAAGACCCACACGGATCAGAGATCTCACGCAAGCTCTAGGCATCGTTTTAACAGTTAAGGAAATAAAGTTCGAGTGGAAGTTGGCTTGGAGCAAAAGGCATCGCTAGAAGGGACGGTGGTTTGTGTCGAGACGAATGACGGAGTGGGAGCCAAAGGAGCGAATCCGCCAGAGCAGACTGAACCGTGGAGATGGAGCGAGGATATATATATCAGCGTGTGTGCAGGAGCTCGATGCGCTGTTGCACCGCAATACCATTAGAGATGGGAACTTCTTGGGAAGGCCGTCATCCAGCAATGGATCGATCATGGATGATGAGAGGGTTATACAATGTGACACGGATCACGAGTACTTCATGCGCATTCTAGATCACCATTCGACTATCTTACAACAGTCTGTTAGGGTGGTTTTGTTTTTATGGCCACTTGTTCCTTACATCACAGAACATATTCTTCTAAAATTGAAATGTCCCATAGCCGTGTCACTACCGTCTAATATAGTAATAAAGCAAATCTTCGTTCTGTATCACCATATAAAATAATATATTGCATGATTATTTAGACTTTGCACTATTGGCTTTCCAGACATGTTTGTTAAGCAGGTGCATGTCACATTTGCGAACCAAATACTGCTAGTAAAAAAACATCTTTGTACATCCACTGCTGAATGAAAGCACCACCAACCTGTACCAATCTATGGTGTCGCTTGACCAAGTGTTGAAGAGGCGTGGCCCCAGGACCAATCTAGATACGTTATCCCTGGCTGGAACTTGAACTCCGATCTACATGTTCATAGCACAGTGTGCTAATCACTTGTGGTTTATCAAATGTTTTGGGTAAGAGCAATTCCTCGAAACGACGGTGCCCTGCTGGCACACAAAAAAAACAAGTTTCATAATAACTCGAATTCGTTTCATGCTACGCATTTCAACCATATACACATTTATTGTGGCGTTTCTCTGGCGCTTGTGCAGCCCGTACTTTTTGTTGATTGATGTATATGTGCCGTGTTATATTTAATGGCGCAAACGATGAACATGGCCAACGCAGGGTTTCACGTGCGCGCAACAACCTGAAGTCTACCCAATGACTGCTCGCGACTGTGTGCATCTAAAAGCGCGCGTCCACCCCTCTGCCAGCTGCTTTGGCGATGCGATCATCGGAGTATTCCAAAGTCAACGTGATTGATGTGGTTGTTTTGGTTGAGCGCCGCACATGTTAATGAATGCGCACGTGGACGCCAGGGGACATTTGGTCTGTGGCACTTGAAACTATAATTATGGGCACGCGTCTTAAACCGTCTTGGGTCCGCCCGGCGGTATAGATTGGTGAGGGCACCCCGTTGGGCCGGTCTATCGGCAGCAGGTGAGGTGCGGTGGGATAGAATGTGGTGGGGCTCCCTCCTATTCCAAGACCGCCTGGCCAGCGTGGAAGATCAGGTCAACAAAACCATCTCTCGCGGGGGGGGGCTCTAGCGGAGAGCCTCATGCCAGAAGTAGCGTGAGAAAGAAATGTCAGGGCTGCACCGCTACCTAGGATGTTTTGATGGGCCAAGAAAGTGGAACTAATCGGAGCACAAACTCCGTGGCAGCATTCTCCGTGCGGAACGCCATCCCGCTGCACATTCGCAGCATGTAATCTACACCGGCTTAGAATAGACAATTTTATCTGGCTTTTGAGGAGTCGCATTCAATTAAAGTCCGTGCACTATTGTGCGCTTTGTAAATTGCATATTGTTTGTAATGTAATTATAATTTCCCTTTGCTTCGCTGCAAATAGTACATTGAGTGAGCATAAGGATATACAGTTGAGTGCAGCTCCGTATTTAAAAAAATTGGAAACTTTGCAATCTTCCTGAAAATGTCGTTAAATACTTTTTGCTAGAATGTAAACCGCACATTAAATGTGCTCATTACTGCAGTGCATCTGCCAGACAAAATTGTTGCACGTGTGTGCAAATGATCGCTGCTGGTCAAATTACTGCTGTCAACAACTTTAATCATAGCCCCAGTCGTTAATGTTTCCCAATGTTTACATGGCGTTTCGGCTTATAATTATCACTTAATCGGTATTTGTGCAATTTTGTGCTGTTTAAAATTTCAAACTGCTATGTTTGGAAGATGATGTAAACAAGCTATTTTAAATGCTACTTTTTAAGGTTTCCTGGCCTATGTCCGATGTTGTCAACAAAAAATGTTCTCTCGCCTGCTTGGCGATAACCTATCACCTCGAGTATACTTTGCGCGCATTTATTGTATATCTCCATTATAAAAAAAAATAACCTCGTAGTGAAAAAGTGCCTCTTGTTGGGTGAAATGTTGCATTAGAATCGTGAAAACAAATTTTCAATCTCCCTTTGCCACTTGTCCTCCTTGTCCCTTCAGAACTCTCTCCACCGCACCGCGTTGGCACCTGCGCCCAACCACGTGGCCTTGTTGCTGCATGACGTGAGCCACTGCTCAGGTGCGGCTCAGGGCCTGTAACCACCCTCACCCTGACCATGCAGGTCGAGTGATCTGGCCGTAGACACGTCCGAGGCACAATTTCTCTCCTCCGCGTTGCTCAATCTTTGTCTGCGCGTCCTTTGTTGAACATCGCTTGAGCCCTACCATTCTCTTTTCCTCCCATCACCTCCTTGTCAGCAAGCAAATCCCTCACTTTAATGCCCAATCCTGATTTCCTTCCAAATGGAATGATTCCGTGTTCTCCTACCTGATGCAGGATCTGTTTGTCCTTCCATTTTTACAACTTTCCTCCATATCCATCTTTCAAAACCTTGCAAATCTCTTCACGTCTTCCTTTCATTTTGTCCACGCCTCATATGCATACATCGCCACACTCCAGGCGTAGCCATTTATAATTATTTTATTCAATGCCTTTAAAGCGCCAAAAGGTGTCATCCATTCTTGAAGTATAATTAGATACCAGTGTTGTGGTTATGTGAAAGATAAAAGTCCATGTCACACAACAGACTAATTCAAAATAGCAACACGCCAGATGCTGGAAAACACCTGGGATGTGCATCACTAATGCCATGACAGATGTGGAGATTTAAAGGGAATGAACCAATGCCATATATTCCTCATACAGTACTGAACTACCAATTGTATATTTAGTTTTATCTACCTAGGTCAAACTAATAATTCTATAATATTGCACGGTATGAAATGTTTTTGCGGGTTTGTCCATTGAGATTATGCTTGCCTTGATGAGATTGTGCAAGATGTTGCTAAACGAATTGGGGATGTATATTTCTCCACTTGGGCGAACGTTTCGCAATCTTTCTTTTATCTTCCGTTCCAAAGATGTGCGACTTCTTTTCTACTTTTCGGTGTGGTCGCTGGCGCAGTGTTGCCACAATCTTCAGTCAGTCCCGTGTGTTGCCACAGTCTTCAGTGTTGTGTGTTGCCAGTCGTCAGTGTTGTGTGTTGCCACAGTCGTCAGTCAGTGTTGTGTTGCCAGTCGTCAGTGTTGTGTGTTGCCACAGTCTTCAGTGTTGTGTGTTGCCATGGTCTTCAGTCAGTGCTGTGTGTTGCCACAGTCTTCAGTGTTGTGTGTTGTCACAGTCTTCAGTGCTGTGTTGCCACAGTCTTCAGTCAGTGCTGTGTGTTGCCAGTCTTCAGTCAGTGCTGTGTGTTACCACAGTCTTCAGTGTTGTGTTGCCACAGTCTTCAGTGTTGTGTGTTGCCAGTCGTCAGTCAGTGTTGTGTGTTGCCACAATCTTCAGTCAGTGTTGTGTGTTGCCACAGTCGTCAGTCAGTGTTGTGTGTTGCCACAGTCGTCAGTGTTGTGTGTTGTCACAGTCTTCAGTGCTGTGTGTTGCCAGTCGTCAGTCAGTGTTGTGTGTTGCCACAGTCTTCAGTGTTGTGTTGCCACAGTCTTCAGTGTTGTGTGTTGCCACAGTCGTCAGTCAGTGTTGTGTGTTGCCAGTCGTCAGTCAGTGCTGTGTGTTGCCACAATCTTCAGTCAGTGCTGTGTGTTGCCAGTCGTCAGTGCTGTGTGTTGTCACAGTCTTCAGTCAGTGCTGTGTGTTGCCACAGTCTTCAGTGTTGTGTGTTGTCACAGTCGTCAGTCAGTGTTGTGTGTTGCCACAGTCGTCAGTCAGTGCTGTGTGTAGCCAGTCGTCAGTCAGTGCTGTGTGTTGCCAGTCGTCAGTGCTGTGTGTTGTCACAGTCTTCAGTCAGTGCTGTGTGTTGCCACAGTCTTCAGTGTTGTGTGTTGTCACAGTCGTCAGTCAGTGCTGTGTTGCCACAGTCTTCAGTCAGTGCTGTGTGTTGCCAGTCGTCAGTGCTGTGTGTTGCCACAGTCGTCAGTCAGTGCTGTGTTGCCACAGTCTTCAGTCAGTGCTGTGTGTTGCCAGTCGTCAGTGCTGTGTGTTGCCACAGTCTTCAGTCAGTGCTGTGTGTTGCCAGTCGTCAGTGCTGTGTGTTGTCACAGTCGTCAGTCAGTGCTGTGTGTTGCCAGTCGTCAGTGCTGTGTGTTGCCACAGTCTTCAGTTGGGTGTCTTTGTGCAGCGATTCTTTTTTTTATTGCTCACAAGGTTTATTTCTCCTGCTTTTTTAGATCGTGGTTGGCAATTATTGTCATACTGTTTACTTATTTTCAATGCTGCAATATTGGCATGTGTTTGGTTTTCGGTGAATGGAGTATCCTGGAGGTCGAAACTCAACTTAAGCATATGCGCGCATGTTTGCATTATCATACATTGTTGTAAACTTTGCTTTTATTTCTGAAACGTTGCCCCGCAGTAATAAAAATGAACCCTGACCCAGGCTGAGGGGCAGCCGCGACCCTTAAACATGAGCCTGGCTGCACAACGAGCGACAAATCAGCATTTAGCTTCTAACAATGACATACCACCTTCATGGTCAACGGGAAAATGTTTAAGACGGATATACCTTGTTTAAAGATGATAGATATATATACACACAACTCCATTCTCAGTTGTCAGGAACAGGTCAATCCATAACATTCTCTGCCTGCCACTCCTTAAACACACACAACTAAAATATTCATTCAATCGGTGGTTTCAAAGCATAAATGATGGACATTCCAACCTAAAGCAATCCAACAAGAACTGCGCAAAAGAATGTAAATGTTCACAAGGTATATTTTGTACTTGTCACTTTCTTAAACGCTTTCGACGTCGTAAAAAAGTTTTTAATTACAGAAACAAGACAGTGCAAGCCATCATTTAGGAATGTATTATCTATTAATGCAACATCACTTTTGAACAATAGTATAACCTACTTGATATAAAGAACTAGTATTTATTTTGAAAGTTGCATCACAAACTGTCATACAATAAAGGAATTTTAAAAACAATACTCACAGTTGCAGGAAAAAGACCCATGTAAACACATTGCTACTTTAAAAGACAATTATATAATATTTAACAGCATATTGTGAGTACATTATCTACAGAATGTGGTAGTTTGGAGTTCATTGCTAGATGAACATAGAAACTCATACCTGCTATTGTTCAGAAAGTAAGTTTGTAAATCACCACCGAAGCATAACATTGACTAATACTTAACACTTTAACAGTATCTTGAAACGGGTGTAATGTACAGGCTTTCCTCAAAGGCACTTTCCAACAACGTGCCTTATAACCATTGCACGTCATGTTCCACCGCCATCCAATTCTTTCCAATTTATATTAGTCAACTTCGTTAAAAAAAAAAATCAGAACCATGTCGATAGCGCCTTATTTCACAAGTCCATGTCGACCGGGCGAACACTGCCCGTCCGGGTGTCCTTCACCCAGAGCTCACGGTCTCTGTTTGGGTCCACCTTCTGCAGCGACTGGTTTACAGCCTCCATCGTCTGAAAAAAAATCCAAGCGCAAACACACAACCAGGTGACGCGAGATTGCCTCTTTGTTGCATCCGTGGCAAAGGGCAGCTCGTGCGAGGATGGGCACTTATTCCAGACAAATGTTGCAGCCGTCTCCACGCAGCTATCTCGACACGCGTTAACAACGGCCGGCGGTGACATCACCATGGCGTTTGTGCATGGGCTAGGTACACATTGAGGCCACGCGAAGTGTCGAAGGCTCGCTGCAGGAGGTCACGGCACAAACCCAGATGCCATGGGTTGACTGGCAGTTGTACCACCTGTGCTCCCTACTGCTGCACTTTAGCTGCCCGGCGCGCCGCTCGTTGTTGTGAGCGTCGCTTCTCCAACCTTCGCTGTTGTTGGAGGGAGACTGCCTCCAACCGCCGAGCCTCCTTCACAGAGCCCGATCTTGACACCGCTGATACCAGTCATCAGCAAGTCCAATCATTTCCACATAAGTCCATCTCTTCTCTATCGAGCCTGTGTCACGCCTATTTTAGCCCCCATTTTCCAGCCAAACAGTACGGTCCTCCTTTAAAAAAAAAATGGGGACCACCAGGCCATGCTTATAATCTGGCAGAACCCATCCTGTGGGCCAGACGGTTGTAATGATGTCACAAAGGGCAGTCTGCACACCAATGCTATTCTTCTTCAGCAGTTCGCTTGAGAGGCCATCTGCCCAGTGCTGTACCTATTACATATTATAGAATCGATACAGAAGACCCTTGGAGGCATAAGCAGCAACCTACAGATACAAGGGTACTTACTGCGATACGGCCGATACTATGATATATCGTACAATACAAGATCCACGATTGTGATAATCGTTATGTCAAAAATATATTACTTCTTGACAAAGTAGTTGTGAAAGAACAAACGCACGAATTACATTTTTATTTAAATAGCTATATTGCCAATGTAAATTGTTGTTTTAAAAAATATTTACCCGAGTAATTGGTGATGACATGAAATGGTATTTTTTGTATCCATTTCAATTCATTCATTGTTGGTTGACTGACAGTATGAGCATTATAAGTGTTATAGATTGGAAAGTTGGATTGAACACTTTTAAGTAATCATTATTCTAACTGGAAATACAGCATAAGTACAAAAAAACTATACAAAAACAAGGCAAATCAAAAAGGTATGGGAAACCTACTATCACGACAATCTTCATATCATGAAATTTTAGATTGTTTCATGAAAAAATTGGATTGCAGCAACAGACGGTGAAGCAAAACACACTGAGCATCTGTGTGCCAAACAGCATACGTACAAACCTCAGTTTGGCTACTTATGACATACACTGGTCCCTTGAAGTGCAATAACGAAATAGCACAGACTGGCTACGTATTCGATGTTCACTGGATATTGAAAGCAAGCTTAGACGAACCTCTCTCGCTCACTCTCTCTCTCTTCCTCTACCACCCCCGCCCACCAGTAGCGCCTTGTGCACTCGTATATTTTACAGAGCTTGCCAAGGCCCTATGAGCTGCCAGTGTAACATCAAAGATGCGTATTTCACCTCTAGAACCGTATAAAAAGAAGCAACGGGATTTTTATGCTTTGGCAACGAGTTATTACAACAGCAACAAAATCTCCATTATAATACTGTGCAACTATTGATGCACATCATGTGGTATAATATTGATTGGAATAATACGTAGCATGAAAACGATTTTTTTTTTTACAAAATAGCACACCGTTTATAAATCTTATAATTGCCGACTGGATATACAGATGTAAAGCAATAATCTCTTATTTAAAAAAGATTGGCACGGTGTACTATAAGACGGATCATGTTTATGGCGTTGTGTTTGCAGTATACCATATTTCACTGCGTACTGAGCTGTAATTGTGTGTGCCATGCAGAGTCTAATTCAAGGCAGTGTTTGCTAGAAAATAAAAGAAAGATTTCCCGTGAAATCTAAAATGTCAGTGCAAGGCATGGCTAATGAGAGGAAATATATCACTTACCAGTTTCACTATGGAATTGCACGAGTCAATATGCACCGGGTTTTTGTTTCTACGCTTTGGTTATGTTTAAATGTCACACTGACACTGTGTTCTGCTCTGAAGATGGACCATGAGCAGACTCCCCTATTATATAACCTTTCTACTTTAGGGCAATATTATTGAATGCCTTTTGTTGACTTTATTTTGCTATCGTGTCTGGTAGGCGGTGCCAGAGCTACTTACGCTTTGGTTGAACACGTCCGTCTCATGGCGTAGCTGTGTGTAGCGGTTAAGGTGTTGCTCTATCTGCTCAATTCGCTCAACTTCCAGCCTCTCCAGCTCCTGCCAAAACCAACACAAGTTCATTAATTTCCATGCCGACCATAAGTGCCGCCCCACCCATGCACTGCGCTTGGATTTCTTCCCCCCCTCCCCCCCCCGTAAATATCCTGACGTACCAGGGATGAAGTGACCATTTCCTCAAACCACCGGAACTGAGCCTGGTTGTACAGGTCCACGCATTTCTTGAGGTCGTCGCCTGTTCAAAAAAATATAAAAGGGAGGGACCAAACCGAGCTGTGGACGTACGACGAATATGTTTCCCCGGGGGATGGCACCCACGTGCGTGGCCTTCCGCCAACTCGGTGCAACGGCCCTCTCTCACCGCCCTGAGTGGACCTCATCCGTGCCTTCATGATCTCCTCCTCGGCCTTGTTGGAAGGCTTGATCTCGTTGTGCTTCACCTTCATCTCCAGTTCCCGCTGTCGTTTGGCAAGAACCTTTCTGGCCTGTGAATGGAAGGCAGGTGATGGTGACCCATGATGATGGGTTGTAGAAGGTTTTTTTTTTTTTAAGTACCATCGGATATACGATTGCATGTGCTTCTGGATGCTACAGAAGGAAAAAGTGCCTGACCGCAAATATTTGTTGATTCCACACTAGATTCAACAGCAGGTTATTATAACACCTTGTCACCTTCCTCAGGTGTTCAGACATCCACTTGCTACCTTCTTCAACGCATGGGGGTTGTTACGGTCTGCCGTTGAAACTAACCAGGATGAGTAAATAATCTGGTGCTCGCATCTTATGCTTCTATAGTGCTTATTAACACAATTTGTCAAGTGTTTCCCAAACGACACAGTTGAATGCCGAAAGGATGTTACAACAGTAAATCTTCTCAAAATCCCACTTGTGTACAGGTCAGCCAAAATTACATTATCTTCATGTGTCTTGACAGAGAATAGGTGTTATCCTCATAGTCATGAATTTATGAGCGTACATTGCGTAGCAAAACAAAACCTTGGCTGTGCTGTGTGCCAGTGTTCATAACTCGTAGAGCATTTTCATTTTTAAAAAATTACGTTTCATATGTTCTGCGGTTTCATGTGTTCAGAAGACAGCAAATGCAAAACTTTGTCAAAGTTAAAACTCAAAAACACGTCAACACAGCAGGGGTGAACTGCAGGAAGGAGATGGTAAACACGTGAGTGCAATGGCCGTATGTATTTACTTCAAATGTACCATTCATGAAGAATAGTCTTGCTCTTAAATTCTATTGACACAGCATTCGTGAAACACCGTGTGTAAGTTACCTTTTGAACCGAGCTGTATCGCGTAGTGAGCAGTTTCCGATGATTGGCGATGTGGTGTTCCTTCTTGCGCATTTCTTTTCCAAAATGTTCTCTGAAGCTGAAGAGCGGCTTTTCCACCTCGCTACTCAGCTAAAAATAACGAAGCGTTGCACGGGCATGAGAGGAATTTTCACGTAATCATTTGATATTACTAAAAGGTATATTGAAATAATTATAATTTTTTTCTCACCTTCATGTTAATGTATTAACGGAAATATTGCGTGGCGTATATTTTTTAAACAATTGTTTATATAGTTGTAGGATTTAAACACTTACCTTGGCAGCAAACTTTAAATGGACTTCTGCCTCTGCAGACAAACTGATCTTCACTTGAGCCCAGCTTTCTCCCAGGGTGCTGTGCATAAAACATGACCACCATGAGCATTCAACAAACAACACACACATACAATTTTATTTGAAGCTTTCGTGACTGCAGGGATTCATATTCTTGGTCTTTCGGTAAAGTCACGTAGAAGGGAAACAATAAAATAATTAAAATATTTTCATTATTTCATACGTGAACCAAGAATACACACATATATGTTTTTTCCATAAACACCACTGCTCAACATATCAGGTTTTTTTGGGTTAGATCGCGTAAATATGTGTCGTTAAACCCGCCACCACTTGACACAGCCAATTAGTAAGGTTTGTCATGTAAACAAAACATGCCAATTCGTTACAAGAACTGGCACACCGGTGTGTTGGAGAGTAAACCCAAACATTTATATGTACGCGATCTAACCCAAAAAAAACTCTTATGGACAATATTGGTCGCGAAAGCCTACGTGTTAAACTGCAATGCCATATACAATTTTACTTCGTTATTCACGAACTTGCTATCCCGCGATGTTGGCTGGAACTCTACACGGCTGCGTCGAGAGAGAGAAAGTGATGAGAGAGAATGTGACACGAGAAAATGATGACATAAAGTGACGACATAAAGTGATGAGTTAAAAGATAGGTTTTCGTCGGCCAATATCGTTAACCACATTTTTTTTTAATTCACGAGCATCTCCAGAACGTATCCCTCGTAGATCACGAGGAAATGCTGTACTGCTGCATAGGCAGTGTTACAAAGAAACTTGGCCAAGGCTTGAACTGCCTTAACCATTATGCAATGTGAAACCACAAGTGAAAAATGCTTAATTAAAAACGTATGCTGTCTTGATGAAAACAAACAGATGAGCATTGCATTTTTTTTGCATGCGAGTGAACAAAACAACCGGCACATTTTCTCAACAACGTCTCTTCCTCCGCTGTTGCCCCTCTCCTTTTAAGAAGCGCTGCGCTTTGTGTTTTCGCTGCGACAAACGCAGCGATACGTAAACAAACAGGCCAGACGAGATTTACAACACCGACACCACTCTCCGTTTTCAAACATACGTTACAGATTACTCTTTGCTTGCAGACGTTTATTGCACTAGGTAGGTTTGTTTTATTTCCAGGTCACAGGGTCAATGTGCTGAGAGAGACATCTCTAACAGCAGTCAAAGGGTAATTTGGAGTAACGTGTGAGACATCGAGGTCACCGTGACCTCTGTGCTGCATTTCCAACCGCAAATCCATAGTTTACTAACAAGCGCGTGAGACCATGTCGTTCACAAAGAACTCAATGTATGACTTTGTTGCTTCACGTAGCTATCCGCTGGTATAACTTTCATAATAACTTGCAGCCCTCTTTGTTAAACCACTCCTGAATAAGGGCCTCCCGATGTTGCGGCAGTCACGAAGGTTGTGTGACCATACTTCAGCACACTTGTCAACAGCGGGCTGGTTAAGCGGTGGGGAATATCGAGAACTGTTTCCCCATGACGCTAGACACTGGCTTTCGCTATGGCTGGAAATTCTACTCAAACCGTCCGGTTCAGTGTTGCAAACCACTCTGCACTACCACTCCACCCCCTCCATCACTGAAATGGTTGGTTTATTTACATATATATTTAATTATTATTTTTTACGGAACTAACTTTGGGAATTCGGCACTATTACACAAAGTGAACAAATGGGTCATCATCGTGTCTTGTGCTGGATATGACTCACAGGCTCTTCCAACGATCACTTTACAGGAAAACAACACACACTTTTGGAATCGAAATACGAACGTCAACTCCGCGAAGAAAAACGGGGCTCGGCCGATGAGATATTCCCCACCCACTCGTGAAATGCCACAAGCGAAATTAATCGACGCGCGCCCTTGTTTTAATTTGCACCAAACGTGAGAGAGCGCACGTGCCATCATCTTATCATCAAGGGAATGTATAAAGCGCCTTCAAGCAAAGGGGCGTTTAATCTAGGCGCTTTACGAAGAATTAACAACGGTACACAGCAACGTGTGTGTGAATGTAATGGTGGAGATGAGGTGAATGAAGTTGATGGGACGGAAATGGGGGCGAATCTGTGATGTGTGAATTCGGTGCAAAATTGATGACGGTAAATGATGATGAATGGACTGAATGAATGGGGTGAATGAGCGATAGGCCTGTAATGAGAACATGAAGAGGGAAGAGTAACGGTGGTGGTTATGAGGGGGAGGTTAAAGGGGTCGTGGGGTGAGCTCGGCAAAATAGGTTCTGAGTGAGGAGGGGAAACGAGTGAGCGAAGGCGACCGCTTAATATGGAGGGGAAGTTTGTTCCAGTGCAGGGCGGCGAGAAGATAACGAGAAGCGGACGCGTGGTCTTGAGCACGAGGAGGAACAGACAGAGACGGCAACGGTTGAGAACTTAGAGGCAAAGAAGACGACGTAGAAAGACACAAGTTTAGCAAGAGACGGTCGGGGCAAGATCACAACGGGGATACGTAGACCAGGGCGAGGAATTTGCTCGCACCTCTTTGTTGACAAGCGTCTCAGAGTTTGCTGCAGTACGTTGAACCATCAATTAAATTCGTCGACAATTAAAAAAAAAACTTCAAGGTGTGGAAGACAAAATGCTCACCCTTCTTCCTGCAACGCCAGGGGACATTGTGACAGCTTTGATAGGTTCTTTGCGTATTCCTCCTCGATTTTTACTCTGGCAAAACAAAATTTTGCATTGCAGATGCACAGGAGGTACAACGTACTTTTTTTCCCAACGTAGCCCTTAGCTGTATCGGCACAATCGTACAGGCACAAAATTCAAATTAACGTGAACTGCAGTAACTTTTGGACGCTACAATATTTAAACATATCAGTGACTTAGATTAAATACAATGTTATTTTCTGGAAACATTATATGAATTTGCTGTTTTAATGGTCATACATTGATAAATCATTATTCGTGATGCATTTTGAACTCTGTAAACTCTCACCAGCAGCAGACGTGCATGCAAAGACAGAGAGTGATGGTTTCTGCTTATAAACGTACGAGGTGAAGGGTAATAGCAGATCACTCGCAAGCCTTCGCACGCATCAGTGATCCAAAGCTTTAAAGGCATATATCACGTCCCACCGTGTAAACCCATTCAGTCTTTACACTCGCCAGAAGCAAGACAGCATTGGATCACATGGACAAGCTGCTGCCAAATCTATGGCAAATGATCCACAAATTTAATTCCGCAAATTCCGACAGCAAATGGGAACTGCATTGAAGACAGACAGCAGCTAAACACACGTAAAAAACCCAGAGGAATGTGCTGCATTAGTTTGCTATATATATGACCTTTAAAATATAAAACCTGCTTTAATAACCTCGTAACAGGGTCGAGAATAGCAAGTACATTTATAAACATGCAACTCCTGCAGCCCAAGTGAACACAAGTGCTCATATTGTTCGCATTGCAACTAGTATCCACGTGCATGTGGATGCATGTACAGTATATGTGTGCTTTTATGCACACTTTAATCAAATTAAATGATACACAAGCACAAACGTGCAATGACAATAAGGCTCCTCCATAACACATATATACATGCAATAACTAAAGCTCCTATTTTCCTGAAATCCATAATACATTACCACCCCCCCACCCCCCGTCCTAGTAATCGCAGCACGATTTCTGCAAGCAGCTTAGAGTTGTTCTGTCATACTTAAGCGGAGCCGAGGGTAAACGACAGGGGCGGAGCCACAGGGGGGGCTGGGGGGGGCTCAGCCACCCCTGAAATTTTGGGAAAGTCGGTAATCGGGATAACCGGATATCCGGCTGCTGCAAAATGCTGCAGGCTGCCACCTTGTGCTGCCCTGCAGGCTGCCACCTTGTGCTGCCCTGCAGGCTGCCACCTTGTGCTGCCCTGCAGGCTGCCACCTTGTGCTGCCCTGCAGGCTGCTTAAACGGCAGCCTTTCGAACTTATCGAACTTATTAGCCACATCAGCGGCTCCGACCTATTAATAAACTCCGCGTTCAAATCCAATAAAATTTGTTTTACACATTTGTGGCGCCCATTGGAAAACATAAACACTGAGATATCTCAGAATACTGAAGTCAGCCCCCCCCCCCAAGTCAAGTCAAAATCCTGGCTCCGCCCCTGGTAAACGAGCACAGCTCTTTGTCTAGACTTGACGCTTTTTCGAGGCAGTGACATAACCCAGATTTGATGTTCAAAAAAATTCCTCGGTGTTAGTTTCCCAGAGCGCACACAAAGTTCTTTTAACTAGCAATCAACAAGGGATTTTATTTTTTATTTAGCCTCTCTTTCCAGTTCACGTTATCACCTCTGCCGAATGAACTCTGCCATCTCCCGTGACATCTGCTGCCCTTTCATCTGTTTTGCCAACAGGACATTGAAACCAGATGTTGCCTTCTTGCTGTGGGCATCGAGCTTGTCTGCCTGTGGAGACAAGAACACAAACACTTGACGAGGCGCCGTTTTTCACACGCAGACACTTTATCACCCGCAAGCAGGTCAATGGGTCGGGGGGGTGGGACGTGTAAGGATCCAACAATATTTTTTCAATTTCCTCCCACAAAATAATTTAGATGTTTACTTTAAGCTGCAATTATTTATACGAGGTATTTTTAAACTCCTCTTGTTGGGATGTAGCCTCTCGAAAGTTTGCAATGCTGCGTAGGTTCCAAGAAATGGTGAAATCTGGAGCCTCAAAAAACATGCCACTCTGTAAAGTTTTAAATTAACTTAATAAAGTAAATAAAACTTTGTTAAGAACATAAATATTGCCTAGTTTAAAAGTGTGTGTAATTTGTACACACACGCAAACACATTTAAGAGTCCCGCAGCATTTGAAACTGCTGACTTAATCAAATCAAATTGCGGAGTTATAAAGAGTAGTTGGAAAAAAATGTAGATGGAAGTATTTAAATCGACCAATTGCACATCACAGAGGTACGAGAGGTCGGGTTCGGACCCAGAAGTGATCGCAGTAGCTCCACTCGTCCGGCTTCAGGAGGCTTTGTTCAGCTGTTGACTCCGAGCCAGGGAAGGTGACGCAGTTAGTCTGAAACAGGACAGTCAATTCACCAATTCACAAAATCCGGTATGCACCAACAATACTTAGTGTAACGGATCATCTCATTACGTAAAAATATAGGGTTTTTGTGTTTAATAAAGATACAGAATTCCATGAATGAATCAGAACTCCCATTTATGAATGAGATGAACGAATTCCCGATGCTTTACGGCTGCGTATCTTTTCGCGGTTGTCTTTTCTATGTCTCCGATGTGTTTTTTGGGTTGCACCGCATTTTTTTGTTCGGCATGAGTGCCCGACGTTTCAGTTTCCGCAGAAGCTCCCAGCGAGTGAGTGGAACGTCGTCCATCGTGCCCAAAAAATTACATGGGGGGGGGGGGGGGATGAGGGAGAAGAGATATCTCTCTCCTTTGCTTTATATCCCTTGGATGAATTGCTCTTCGTTAATCGTCCCCAACAACAGAGAACAAGCACCATTTGGTTATTTACACGTTCATCTCCCCCCAAGCACCCGTCCCTCGTCACAAATCAACAAATCAGCCAGAAGGGTGAGAATGCAGGAAGAAGAGGTGGGGAGGACGTGGGGAGGACCCCCCCCCCCCACAGCCGACACGAGAAAGAGTTTGCCTTGCCAGCTGTGCATGGCCTGCATCCTCCCACGCAGACATTCCTCACACATTACTGGTGACACACCCCCCACCATCCGCACGGCGCGGTACACTCAGAGCAATATACATTGCCAGAGCATAACATCATGGAGAGAGAGAGAGAGAAAAAAAATCAAGAACAAATATAGAATCTTATGCACAGATTACATCAACAAATAGGTTACATATGTGTTTGTGGATTTATTTATTTTTTTAACAGAGGGAGGTGGGGAGGGGGGGGGAAGTGGAACAAACTGGGCAAAGTGAGTAGGTGCTACGAATCCTAATAGGCCTAATGCCTCTGTCTAAATTAGTTTACTTAAGACAGATGCCGCGTGGCGATGAGCCTCACCGTTATTGTGGTCAATTTGCTTTTTTTGGGGGCAGGAACGTCCGTGGTAGGGCCTTGGTGCTGTGAAGTGAGTTGAAGGGCGTTGTTGTATTGGGGCGGGAGCGTGGGTGGGTTGAGACCACGAGACCGGTCATGATGGGTCATAGGCGGGGAAGAGAGGGGAAACATTCGTCAGCAATGTGACATGACACACGGCGAATGTACGAGGCGACTGGTGAGATCTGCTCCGTTGTGCCAGTGTGTGACGCACGAATCACTTTAATCTGTCGCGAGAGAGCTTGTTAAAGGACGCTTTGTTGCACTGAAGAAAAAATTTAAGTCAATCACTTGAATGTGTGGCTATTTTAAAGACTTAGTTAATCACATGCAAGTTGTTATTATGTTCAATAGCAAATTATTAGTGGTTAGTCCTTTGGGCAGGACAGTCAAGATCTTTACTGGAATGTTAGAACGATTACAGGCAGTTGTCATACTTTTATTTTCGTCTAAAAAAGGAAGCAAGTAAAAATATATAAATCATCATTCAATGACTACTTAATATCCTGAATTAGGGACCACAATTTTGCTTCATATATCCGCCAATTAAGAGATGTAACAAAAATAGTATATTACTCAAATGCACATATGAATGCACAGATTTAGTGGTCATGGATATTTGGTCTGCAGTGGCCCACGTAAGAATGGCATTTGTGAACACGAGTCCTAATTCAATTGGCTTCTTTGAAAGAGAATATAGTTTATACTTGTTTATCCTTCACGTTTGGCCTTAAAGGGCTCCTATATCTACCAATTGACTATTTCTTTTATTTTTTATAAATCGTCACTTTACAGTTCATCTCTATCATGCAAATTCTCTCTCCACAGAACACACAACTTTAAGACATTGCCTAGTGCACAACATGCACAGCATGTTTTGAGAATCGATTCATTTATGGGGTGGATTGGTGGCACAGCAGTTAGCGCATGCCATTATGAACCCGGAGACCTGAGCTTAATTCCTGGCCGCAGCTAACCCACGTTGAGTGTTCTTCTTGGTTCTTTCGGTAAAGTAACGTAGAAAGGGAAATAATTTAATAATAAAAATACAACATTTTATTATGTTTTATATTTATTATTTCCCTTCTACGTGACTTTACCGAAAGAACCAAGAAGATGAATCCCTGCAGTCACGAAAGCTTTAAATCGAAACGTTGAGTGTTGTCTGACCTGGTTCTGCCCGCACCCTCCACAAATCTGCGCTGACCAGGCCTACAACCTGCAGTTGACCGAAAATTGACTGTGCATTCTCATTCAATACTTTCAGATAGAGCAAGGAAAATGCATTCTTATTTTAGTAATTGTATGAAAGCAAGCCATTAATTATTATTATTTTCACCCAATGATCTTCATGAATAAATTATAAATGTAAATTGGTCTGTAATTCTTCAAGTCAATTTTCACCATTTTCTACGAGGACGATTGAGAAATAATTCAAGAATGGAAGTATTTCATATCTTTGTAAATATTCAGTGTACAAGTCTAAATTTGTTTAAACAATAGTTCCCCACTTCTTTGGCAATGACCAGTTATACCATCTGTTCCGAGAGCATTTTCTTTTTTATCTGTAAAAGGCCATGTTTTCATCAAAAGTCAAATATGGAACTTCATCCGAATGTTGGCGGGTTTTTTTTGCTGCAGAGATCTACACGCAAAATTCCTCCGCTAACTCTAACAGTCTAGATTCATCATGTGTTACTTTCAAGTGCTTCTAAGGGGGGGTTTCCCATTTGTTAATTGCTACACGTAAAAGAATGAGAGGAGAAACAAGAGAACACACCACACAGAAATGATTAAAGATGACAGATCAAGCAATGGGAGCATGGAAGCAGCAACAACAAAAAAAGTTTGCCTGGACTCTAAGGAGACGAATCATCCATCGCAAAACTCACAGATGGTCATAATGAAGGTTAAGAGAAAAACCAAGGGAGGTTTAAGGAAAGCGTACATGCCCACAAGCACTAGACATGTGTCTTATGAAGTCATTGGCAAGGCTGTATGCTAAATAAAACAAGGTGTATCCGTGGAAACCACGGGCGGAAGCAAGCTACATCTGTCCGTGCGTCTGCAAAGCTCACTGGCAGTCTCCCTTAGCGGCATACGAATTGTGTTTCATATTAGCCACTGCAGGACTAAGTGTACCCCCCTGCCACTGATAACCATGAATTGTGCATCGTGCTAAACGCCGCAGCTGTGCGAACACATTCAGTTCCATCTTGCGCACTAATAATGCAGGGCCGGTTGCAAACAGGACTCCCAACATCTTCAAAAATGTTTCACAATAAGAAATGTTTATTAATCGCATGCCCTACTGTATACTACGCTTTCAGATTAGGCCGTCTCGGATTATGAACACATACGCAATTTCAGATAAATTCATACCGTATTCTCCGGATTATAAGATTGTTTGGAAAGGCACAGCCAACATGCGTGCCCGGTGTCCATGAAGTTAGATAAATCTGGTCACACATGTGCACAGCTACTGAGTGATAAGATGTGCACCAAACATTTGCTTTAAAATACAGTACAGGGGTGAAAAGGGCATCATATAATCTAGGGAATACGGTACTTTATTGAAGCGAGGAAAGGGAGGCACCACGAGTTTTGTAGAGTGCTGTTTATATTTACCAGGTCATTACTATTTGTTTTCTTAAGGGACGTCTTCTCTTCTGAGCTGACAGAGTGAAATCCATTTTCTGTAACTAAAGGAATCCACATGTCAGCCTCGACTGGGTGCACACATACATTGCTGATTCAATATTCCACAGTGCAGTAGTTTGGGGTAAAATGTCTGGTTGGGGGTTGACTCAACCCACCATCCCTCTCGATTTTGATAGAACGACTACCACTTTGCACAGAAGTCAACATTGCTTGTCCTATGGATAGGACTCGCCCGCACCATAGGAATGTGGAATTTCCACCACTGGCTCTGCAGATCAACACATTTACCCGTGATTAGCATTTATTAGATGTAACAATGTCACAAGTAATTTAATAACACGTAAGTTCCAATTTGCACACATGGCATTGTGAAACTAATTAAAGATTATTTTAATGTTACTGCGAAATATACAGTAGTAGATCAACAGATTATAGTTTTGTTTTTCATTAGCAGAAATGAAAACGCAGACGGACATAGAGGGGGGGAAGGTGGGGTCTAAAACTTACACAACAACAAGAGGCTTGTAAAAAAAACTGCCAATGCTTTAATATGGAAAGTTGCACAAAATTGTTTAAACTGACGTAAAAAAACTCATAACAAGGTTTTTTTTTCATTCAAATACATATAACGAAAAACACAGCACATACACGCGTGCGTTTCTCGGGAAACAATAGTGGCATACAGCTTAGAGCTTTGAAAGAAGTGAAACAAACTTTGAGACCCTCCCCCCCCCCGTGTTTACATAGGACAAGGCATAGTGCCTAAAACAACGTTATCTTCTCACATTGGTGCACATGATATCACTCCCCACCATGTCTCGAGAGAACTAAACAAACAGCACAAGTGAAAACTCCCTCAAGAAGGCAGATGACCAAAACTTCTGTTACCAAAAAAAAAATCTAACTGGGAGTTTGAGAGATGAAAATGAAACGTAGTCATGAAGGATGCTGCCACGGTACAAAAAGGGTTAGCACACTCGGTGTAATGTGGTCAGCATACTCTGCAATCCAGAGGTCAATGGTTAAATCTCCCTGCGTGTAAACTGAAATGTTTCTTTAAAATAATGTTTCCTAAATCCCCCTGCCGCTGTCCACCCAACCGTATAAATGGATACGCCCACGTTAGTGTTGTGGGGTAAAGCGTGGGTACTCCCACCACGCATGCGAAATTACTCGCAAGAGAGGCTCAGTAGAGATCCCTCTCTTTCGAGACCCTTCCACCAAAAGTGGCATGAGCAAGTAATTGCAGGGCTGCATCTTTACTTTTTCATAAGTACCGTGAAATATTTCCGTAATAATTGTGAATTCTCTATCCGACAAACAAGCGAGGATGATAGAAGGTGCCGACATGGATGAGAAGCAGCAGAATAGTACACCGTGAAAAAAAAAACCTCACAATCGGTAGCTTTGTATTCAAGATTAACTTTTTTTTTAAGAAAAAAAAACGTGGTTTCACACGGCACGTGTTCAGCTGTAACACACTGGGATTGTGGGATGTGCTGGTGTCGTGGTGTCGTGGTGTCGCCTACTTTTCTTCTCAGGTGGGCTCACTGGGCCGAGGCCAGGAGACGCAGCTGGCGATGATGAAGTGGTGGAACCAGTCGGTTTTTCCCAAGTCGTTTCTGTGAGCACAAAGGATTGAAAGGGGGATGTTGTAAACTCTCACGGAGGTGGATGCTAAAGAATACAAATAGTGCAATGTGTTTAAAAAGGATTGACCCGATTTGAAATCGCTATATCTCTGCAACCACGAACCGCCCATGAATGAAACTCTTACCACTTGAGAGGGCGGGGCATGTAGAGGGCGGGGCATAGAGTTTCAAATGATTACCGCTCGATGCCTCTCCCAGCGCACAAACAGCCCCTAGCCTCGGTCATTCGCAAGGCGGTGACCCCCGCAACACAAGGGGCGTTTTGCGTTCTGCAGCTCAGCAAGACTGAATCCGTAATTGCGGTGCAGCGTGCGTTTCAACGGCGTTTTGGCATCGATCCGCCAATGTCAAAGAGCGTTCGTCGTTGGTACCGACAATTTGAGGAAACGGGCTGCTGTTGATGTAAGGGGAGGAGCACAGGGCGACCCGCACCTCAGAGGGAAACGTGAGAAGAGAGGCGTTTGGGACGAATTCAACTATTGTCTCTCGATGTTGTCCGTACAGCAAGTGGAGGGCACATAGAGCATTTATAAAATGGCTAGTAAAACTTGATGACTCATTAAAGCGTTTGTAACTTTTTGTGTAATTGTAACATGTCATCTTGAAATATACTGCTTTGAAATTGGGTCCAACTTTTTTAAACACCCTGTAATAACAACGCTTCATTTGAAAACATCTCAGTGAGACTCGAGCACACAAAAGGAAACATTTTTTATACAAAACGCTGATTACACGTGTTTTTTTGGATCACTTCCCCAGTCTCTTTACGAATATGTGGACGCAAACACTTCTCACGAAGATCTGCTGATGTCTTTTACAACATATGTTCAAGGCGCAAGTGTTCAAATTGCTAGAAAGTAACTAAACAGAATTTAATAAGCATTTTTTGTTACTGCACAGTAATAGTATGGCAGTAATAATACGAAAAATAACTTTAAATGGGTACAGGCTGACCTACATTGGGCTCTGTCTAAACCTTTAATAAGCTGCTTAATAAATTATTTGTACCCTTATTTAATTCTAAATGCTCACATTGATTATAACCTCAGCTATTCGCTATTACCTATGCAAATTATATCTTACAAAAGGGACTTTTTATAAAAGGCATTGAGGCTGTCCAGTAGAGTAAAAAATGGGACGCGCGGTGAAGGAAATAATTATAGTAACAGTCACAAATAATAACTAACCGGTCAAACCAGCTTGGAGTTTCAGTTCGAAAACATTGATTGATAAAAAAAGGTCCGGATGAAATTTCACGGGTTCCACGTCATGTCTTTGTGTTGTTTTTTTAAACCTACGGATGACCGCACAGAGTGTCGTAATTTCACAGGTCGCGAAGAAAATGTAAAATTCCGTGTCGGCTCCAATACCGGTCGCCACCCAACAATGTAGCCACGTGGGGGCCCGCACCCAGCCCCCAGACCCAGGCTGCCCTGCCCCGCGAGCCTCCCGGACCGCTGCACAGGAAGCAGCACCCCCCCTCCTCCCCCCAGGCCGCTTCCTCCTCGTGCCCTCGCCAGCACAATGATCGCAGGGTGCTGGCGGAGGCGCCATCGATATTTGCGCAAGGAAGAGGAGCCGGCTGCGTGGCGATAAACCACGCCGCAGTTGCCAAGCCACGGCCAAAATACTCCGGGGGCAGAAGGCCCATCCCCAACTCCCCCCCCCCACCCCTCCTCTCCACTGCTCGTATCGGAGCATTGCTGCGTCTGTCTCAAGAGAGGGATCGGTGTGTTACTCGTCATGGCTCTGCTGTGCAGAAGCTCTTTGATGGGTGGTTGTGCCGTGGCCGCGTGTTGTGCGGCTGTGTGAAACGTCGGACTTCGCACCGAAAAACGCGTAGTACGGCCCAAAAAACACATCGGAGAACTAGATGAATAGGTTCTTGCCGAGATTTGGCTCACACGCAAGTCAGCCTGTTTACACTTTCAATGTTATTATGCTGTGATAGCAACAGCTGACAAATGACATCATTGCAATCTAATATAAAAACAAGTGATGTTATGCATTCCTATATTTGTGGTTCCTATTTAAAAAAATTAAAGTTCAGCCCTTTGTCAGTTCCACTACTAGATAAAACGCATCTTCCCATGATCAGCTTCGTGAAACGGCCATAGCTCACCGCGCTGATCGTGGGGAGTTGAAGTGCCCGTACTTTACGATGCTGATCTGTGCGGTTTGGTGAAGGGGGACTGCCCAGGACTGGTTCAAATATATTCGTGTCGACTGATCAAACTCACGTGAGGTGTCTGCGTGCATTGTAACATGGCAGGATCCACGAGAGATGGTGGTGGTGTGTTTGGGGAGTCATTCAGCCACACCGTGTCAACCCTGTATTCTTGTGCAGGGAAATTGAGTTTTCAGGTCCATACGGTGTACAGCCGTTTCAATACGGGCAAAAAAAAATGTCTATTTCTCCCTTGTGATGGGACTTTGTAGGATGAACGTTGAGATTTATAAAGGCACGGGGTGAGCAATAAGGTCTGAAATTGTCTGTAATAAGAGAGGCACTGATTCGGGGTTGACAGGTATGTTCATCCAGCAGTGCATTTGCCAAGGTTGGTGAAGATAAATATTGAGTCAGGTTTCCCTTGAAGAATCGATGTGTAAAATCAATTGGCTAACAATGAGCCTTGTTACAAAAAAAAATCCCATCTGCCTAATATACTCCACTGCCAGTTGCTAAAGTTACCAAAACTGCATTGACACGGCATTCTTCTAAAGACGGCTAATAAAGTCTGTTACACAAGTAACATTTACATAATTGATGCATACCATCTGTGTCCATATGCCTTGGCAATGTTGCAAACCTTCCAATATATTTGTTTGAAGTCAGGAAGTCTGACATTGCACATCTTGACTGTTTTCTTTCCATATATGAGTGGATGCTATGAGAAGCCCGATGTGCCTAAACATGACTCACATCCCTGCGTCACTTAAATTACTAAAGCTGCTGTGAATGGGTTGAAGGTCACCCAACCGGGTGGCCGAGCCTAATGCAGGAAATGTACTCTAAACCCTAAACTGTGTGCTGCCCAAATCCAAACTCATCACAGTATTACTACAGCAGAAGTAAAAAAATATGATCATACATAAAGTCTACATCCAAAATATAACATGAAAGTATAGTCCCATGACTACCAACATGCTTATTTTCTTCAAGCCAGCAATAAATGTGCACTCTAACCATTGGATCTTCCTGCAATTCAGGCAGTGTGTAAAAATCTGGAGGAATTATTCAGTAATCTGATACTTGAGTAGAATAAAAACACACAAGCTCTATGGAGTAAATGGAAGACACGACAAGTGTGTTGGGCTAATTGTCCACGTGATCTGTCAAACTAGGTGTCACTCATATGGAGATGCACATCCTTCAGCCAAATTCGGCTGCTTTTATAAAATCCGATAAAATAAATTAAACAATACTTGGTTTTGAATGTATATCACATGAGCATCAGCTATGACTAATGGTGGTCACTGTTATTTTCAGATCCACGTATACAATTTTCACCTTCTCTTTGCTATGCATTTCAGATAGAGTACAAGATAAAACACAATACACATGGAGGTATTTTCACAGAGTATTGAATGCACTACCATCTCTGCCCAAAAGCATTACCCAGGTCACTCTTGCAAATGAAACTGTCCTGGTCTCTTGAGTTCTCATATGGTTAAATAAAATAAACTCAAATGGTGCTCCGCAGAATGTTACATAGCAGGACAAATACTTAAACTTTATCTATACCATGCTCCCTTTAAGTATTTCAGAAATGTATGAATGCATTTATGTGCATACGTATGTTGAACTTCTTTCGCACCGTACGTAGCCAACCGTGCTAATCAGAGGTGCAGGTGGGAAGGACAACAAACTAAACACCAAATGCAATTCCAAAGATGTGAAGTTTCAATCTAGACGATATAAAAGTGCATAGCTCCAGTGGCTTCCTAATATTGGAAAGAAGAGCGTTCCAGACGGCCGCACAAGCGCATGTTAGTGCTGCAGATGAGTGCACCTTGCTATCAACCCATTGAGCCAAGTGCAATGCCTGGCCAGAAAACAAATATACCGTGTGCTTTATTTATACAAAGGTGGTGCAGTGGATGATGCACTGCAATGAAAAACGGTGGCAAAGGGGCACCACGGTGGCAAGATGACACGCAATGGAGAGGCCTGTCACCCAGCATTGGATTGACAAAGGGCTGTACATTATGCTTATAATTATCGAAACGATTACAGGGGTTGTAAAATGTCGTTACAACACACGCATCATCGTGCCTTGCTTATAATGTCCATGTTACCTGCAAGCAAGGCCGTAATTATAATATATATTGGGGGGGGGGCACACCCCCCCCCCCCCAATATTCAAATATGCTCAAAATGTCCCCCCCAATATATTGCCATAAAATAGATTTCTGTTTATATGATTGTGGTTATGGTTGTACTTTATTAATCCCTAATCTCTGCCATTACATACAATGAAACAAAGGTCAAAAAATAAAAAACAGAGCAATGTAATAAATACAATACACTATTAGACATTATTGTAAAAAATGAATAAAAAGTTAATCCTATGTGTTAGTAATTTTTTAATATTTTAGGCAGGAAATGAGTTGTCAAATTTAGATTTTTTTTATGGGGGGAGGACCCCCAGACCCCCTGGAAGATTTGGTTCCCCCCAATGTTGACTCCATGGCTACGGCCTTGCCTGCAAGAGATCAGGCCCTCCAAATGTATGTAAACTGAACTGTAATTATGTCTTTGGTTACCGTTTGTGCTTGTGTTGACGTAATATTTAGGTCCCTGGGGAGAGCTGAAGCACTGCCAGCCTTCGGGAAGATGGGACATCTCGGGTTCCTCTGTGTCTCCTGGTTCAGGCTTCTGTTAAAACAATAAAAAAACAGCATAAGACAGATAATAAAAACAAAATAAGCCAAATAAAACTATATTATGGTAAATAACTTTTTTAACAAAAACACAAGACAGTTTCTCCGACATGTTTTCGGGCTGTACCCTGAGCGTTGTTAGGTACGATGCATGAAGTTTCGCTCCCAGCTCCTCTAGGATGTGGCTATCGTCACGCGGTGTGAAACATCTGGAATCCTGCCAAACAACACGCTATAACAATCTGAAAGGAGAAAACAGCATCGCCGCAGAGCTCTGCAGCACAATCGCAAAAAGCTCACGCAGTAGTACAGTTCATAACCAGCGATGAGGCTCGCAATCAGAGGTTGTGAGTTTAACTCCAGGTTGGGTGCTGCTAACTCAGCCCATCATCCCTCTGGGGTCGATACAATAAAGGGCACTCTGTAGGGAAGTCACCAGTGACTACCTGTGGAAAGACTCTCCCCCCCGGCCCCTGTCATAGGAATGTGGAATTTCCACCACTGACCCAGGGCTGTAACCATGGAGATGTGCACTGCCTCGATGTTCTTTTGAGCAGGAAGTCACTTTAACTTCATTGTTAAGCACAGTTCAGCTTTGAGACGAAATGTGAGAATGTATATTTCCATAAATGATACATTGCGTGATTTTGTATCTGTTATTTATCTATATAGTTGCAAAAACACATTTCAAAATCAGTGGTGTGGAATTTGTTTGAGGTAAGATATAAAAAGTGTGCAGTTATTCAAATTGAGTGCCATGTCAAATTGAAAACATTTTCGAATGTTAATACGTAACACATTAATACCCTGCCATGCTGACAGGACGCAATTAATCATTGGAGGAATAACATTTTAACAAAAAACACACATTTTATCGTGTGTGTGTGTGCATGCAATGCTGAAAGATGCAATAACGATATTCGGCTTCGGCCAGCCAATTTCTAAAACCTACTGGGAACGTGGAGCACAGCTGCAAGTCAGTCAAGTACAATCTCCACGCCATGAAATAAAACAAAAGTGTGAAAGAGCGGGACCAGATCATGTGGCGCATTGTACATGAAAGCCCCTCTCAGCTTTCACGTTTAAGAAAACACTTTGCATTTGAACTTGTCAGCAAAGCTTTTAGTAGCCCGCAAGTGAAACCTGCAACGTACCAGCAAGCGTACGTTTGTACGCGCGCAGCCAGTGGTGAACGGGTGCACAGCCCTGCAACTGCTTGGTCGCGTCACTGGTGGCGGAAGCGCATGCACTCGAGGAATATTTGGCCTACTCTTCCACCCTGACCAGGCATCTTGGAAGAGGTTTGAGTTACCCCCCACACTTTACCCCGCCATGGGTGACCTGCCCATCGACTGTGGCGTCCCTATATAATTAAACTTCTGCAGAGGGGTGGGGTCAAGAAACGTGCCCGTTTTTTTCAACCGCCGTGCCAGGAGGGCAGACTGGCAACATCTGGATTGAAGGTCCTTTGTGTGGCCACAATTACACCACCAGGGCAGCTTCCCTGCTCATACAGTAAGTAATGGGCAGTACACGACTTTCTAACCAAACTAATGTATGCACTTGATGGTGCAGTTCACGTTCGAGGAATCCGATGGGCTATAAAGCTCTTTTTCACGGATGTCCAGTAGGGGCGGGTCTCAACGTCACAACAAACAATACAAAAACACAATAGGAGTGCAAAGCATACGGAAGGTGAGCAATTAACTAAAATAATATATAAATTAAACTAAACTTTTTATTTTACCAGGTAAAGCCCTCTGAGCTATTACCTTCTTTTTTTCAGAAGCGACCTGGCCACAAATGACAGCTCAACGAAGTGGCCCATCACGTGGATGACTTACAGCCGCCAAATAATCTAAACGCACGTTTCTAAGGTGCGCGCCATGAGCGGTGAGAGCACAGATGGGTCGAGCAAGAAGAAGAATAATGAAGTGCCCTGGAAGGACGCGAGACGAGGGTTCCTTTATCACCACCGTTCAGCTGCGTCTGTGTGTGTGCGTGTGCGCACTTTGGTTGCGTGTGGGGAGCGGTAGTGTAGGGGTTAGCGCTACGGTGCACTACCAACCCGGGGGTCCTAGTTCGATTCCCGCTCACGGCCAACACCGGTGACGATTATCTGAACCGGTCACAGGCATCCCCTAGGTCGACTTTAGCCTCAAAATGAGTACCTGGTGCGGTGTGTGAACATCACCGCTAGGGAGACAAAGGTGGCCGGGGGCGTGGTGTTGCCCACCCATCCACCCCCTCGTGCGCCGTGCCAACCTTCGTAGGTGCTCGTGAACAGCACTTGCCCGAACAGTCTGTTACAGGCTACACGGGGGGGGGGGATCTTTGTCTTTGCTGTTGTTGCGTGGGCAGTACGGCAGAGTGCGCAGGGTGTAAGCAACCCTCCTCCCAGTCTCTCTGCGCTGTGCCAAGTCACAGCCCTCTATCCACGGTCACGCACCCAACCCAGCATCAACAGGCAGTCAGCCAGCCGGCGCGACTGTTGTGCCAGCACAACCCAGGAGGGAAGCCGTCATCTCGAGAGAGAAAGTGGAAAAAAACACACCCCCCCCCCTCCCCCGCTGCGTTCAAAACGCTTTTTGTTTTACAATGCAACACAATAGTTTGGAGCTTTCGTTTCGGCAATAAAGTGGACAGCCACCGATGCAGAGGGGAAAAAAAGGCGGAGGGCAACTTCGTGTTGCCGTTTTGTAGGTTGTTTATGTGTGTTTGCAGTGTGTGTGTGTAAACATTGGAGCACAGCAACGTCAGCAAACATGGTTACACCAGGGCTTTCTGTTGTTGTATACATGTATAGTGGTGGATGTGTGTGCGCACTTAACGTTGTCTGCCATCTAGTACTCACAAATCCCTCAACTGACCTTTGTGCTTCAAAAGGGAACACAAAACAACCTTCCCCACACTTATCTTGATGATAAAAAACGGTTGGCTTTACATCTTAATGAATTAAATGCAACTTCACAATATTCCACTCTCCAACCTCAGCACTTGAAATCAGCTCTGTAAGGCTCCTGCAAAAATCCCCAGGGGCTGACCACAGACAACAAAACAAGCGTCTTGCTTTTCTCTTTAAGTGATTGCTTTTTTTTTCCTTCAAGAGGTAAGTACCCTAGAGGAGTGGTGGCGGTGCCGGCCGATATGGCATGGGAAAGCCAGCTTAGCAGCCTTACTGAAAACAAGGCAAAGAGGGAAGACAAATAGGACAGTCACTGTGCAGTGGCTAAGGAGGTCAACACAAGCCACCAGTTTTATTGGCTTGCATAGTTTTACAAGTTAACTTCCCACAGAAGCAAAGCCGAGTGCGTTATGTAAGAACCATAGAACGAGACGAGACTAATCTGCCTCGCAAACAAAAAGAATACAAAATATTTCTAAAAACAAGAAAATAAAAATGAGTAAACTCCTATTTACCCACCCTAGTTATGACTCGCTCTTATCCACGGCCAGGTTTGTGACTCTTTCCTACTGTCCACACTCTTACACAGATATGAGGACTAACAAGTGGCGAATGCATCCTATTAGTACAGCATCAGTGTTTATGTGAGCTTTTTTCCGACAGACTCAATAAAGTTGTCTGCGCAGATAAGGTCAGATATAACATTATCTGAGATAAGGACAGATTTAACATTATTTGAGATAATGACAGATGTAACATTATCTGAGATAATGACAGATTTACATTATCTGAAATAAGAACAGATAACATTATCTGAGATAATGACAGATTTAACATTATCTGAGATAAGGACAGATTTAACATTATCTGAGATGATAGATTTAACATTATCTGAGATGACAGATTTAACATTATCTGCCAAAAACTGCGCCCCCATGTCAGCTATAAGGTGCTTGTCTCGTTTAGAACATCTCACAATTCCCTCTAACATGACAGATATGTAAAAATAGAAAGCACAAACAAAATGACACTTGTATCTTCCCGATGTATTGTCACAATGTACTTGTCTCATGTAAGTTACAAATACTCAAACATCACGTTCGTCTGTCCATGTGTTTGGGCTGTACCAAGCTAAAACAAATCGGAGAGCTCTACAGGGTGGTCCAGTTGTATTGTGACCCCCCCAATTAATTTAAATAAACCTTACTTCAAAAAATATTACGTTTTAAGATAATTAAATGGGGAGGGGGGTCACAAGATATCTGGAGCACCCTGTACAGTCGTTTAACACGAACCTCTTTTTGGGTTCACAGTCACGTGTTGTGTTTCGCCTGCTTGATGAGCTCATCATCCTTCATGTTGCGAAATGCCTCACAGGGTGTACAATTATTGTGCTTTTGACTTGCCACTTGAGACAACCACATTGCAATGTCAACGTTGAATCCTGCAATTTTGCCAGGAAGAAGCAAGTTTATCAGATGGTACCAACACGCTTGGGTTGTTGTGACTTTGGACCCCCGTGGCAAACAAAGCACCCCCTCCTTTGTAGCCTGGCTCACACGTTTTAAAATAAAAAAAACTATCGTCATGTATGATCTCTTTCCACAAGGCAATGTCGTGTTTTAAAACAAATGAACCAGAAAAAAACTACCATAACATATTTAACAATATCCCTGTTGGAACTCCACTGTTCAAAAGATGTAATCTAAAACAATAAGTTGTTACTCTGTCACATAGAGAAAACGGCAATTCAAGTTTTACACACATATATAGCACCCATCTAACTCTGCTTGTGTTCCCCAAGCACGTGCTTAGGAGACACTTCCAGCAGCCAACTTTCTGCCAAAACACTTAACTGGAATTGAAGCCCCCTTTTTTTCTAGTTTTGCAGCTCGCAAAGTAGTGACATAATCGTCTAATGCCATTATTCAAACCAAGATGGATTATGCCTTTTGCCGTCATCTGGTCGAGCACCAATTGGGTAGAGGCTCAAAAGAAAGCCATCCCTTGGTGTGGACCAATCAATTTTAAGGACATTGCATATATTATCATAGTATGTTTTTTGTTTGCATTTTGACTGCAGGTATTGT